CATCTGGAGCACCATTGGTATCCAAATTGGGCGACGCGTTAGGGGGTTGTTGCAAGTCTTTGTTTAAAGGTGCATGCATGGACGCGTCCACATTTCCAGAAGACGCGACGTGACTGGGCGCAGTTGGCGCAGCAGATTTTTTTGGGGAGGAGGTCAAAGTATTTTCGCCAGAGATATTTTGTTGAGGAGAAGAGGAAAATCCATCTACTCCAACATCAGCCGTCTGGTCATCGGCAACGTAGTCTTCTTCCATAGAATTTTCGGTAATCGTGCGATTACGTTTCTGCTGGACAGTGTTTTCACCATCGGAGCTTGAGTTATCAGAGTTATTATTATTTTTTCGTTCTTAACGGGAAGTTTTCCTACTGTTAGGGTTATGACTTCCACGGCCTCTCTTGGCATAGTTACCAGACATAGTAGAGGGCTTTGAGTTGGGAATATATAAAATATAAAATTTTATTAGTAGTTTGTATTATTTTTTAAAAATAATAAAAAATATTTTCGTCGGAATTTTTGTTTTTGAAAAATTCAGGAGAGAGTTACTACTAGTCACTGGTCAAAAACTACTAGTCAAAAACCAATATATCGGGTAGCAGATATGTATCAGATATGTACCCGATATGTGTAGTATTAATGCAGAAAATCGGGTACCTGATATGTGTAAGATATGTGTAAATATATATATCGTCTACATATCATTTACATATCATATACATATCGGTACCCGATATGTATATGATATATATATTTACATATATCTTACACATATCGGGTACCCGATTTTCTGCATTAATACTACACATATCGGGTATATATCTGATACATATCTGCTACCCGATATATTGGTTTTTGACCAGTGAATGATCGAACACGGCTTTAGTGATCATTATAGCCAAATAAAATCATGTGATTTAATTTGACTCAACTCGATTCGGTTTGACAGGCCAACTCGATTCGAATTGAGTCGAGTTTATATTTTTTATAATTTTAATACAACTTGACTCGACTTGATTTAACTCGAGTCAAATCGAGTTTACATATAACTCAACTCAACTTGTTCGGAGCTCTACCTTCTGTTCATCTCTATTATCATCTTCTATCCGTCTCTATTATCATCTGTCATCCGTCTCTATCATCATCTTTCTTTTATTATTTTTAATTGGATCTCTTACTTCTCCATCATTTCATCTGTTAGTTCATCATCTCTCTTCCTTTTTTTTGCTCTTTATCATTACCTTTTTTTGTTATTCATTCTTTTATTTGTTTCTCTTCATTCACTTTTAAAACTTTAATTTTAATTCTTTATTTCAATTTTAGTTGATCAAATAAAATTAAATAAAATAAGACCTTTGTTATAAAAAATTTGTTAACGTTATAATGAATTATTCAGTATAAAGGCAGGGACATGTGACTTGCCGATCTAATCAGATAACCGATCTTAAAAAAAATTCTTATTATTTTTTTTTTATAATGTTGCCGAATGAAAAGCACGACCAGACTTTTGGAATTAAGGTAAAGGAGGGTTGGAGAGGTGTTTTTCGTTATTTTTTTTCATTTAATTAAATTATTTATTTATTTTTTTCTTTTTTGTAATGTTACTAGACAAAAAGCATGACCGGACTATTGGAATTAAGGTAAGGGAGGGTTGGGGAGGTGGTTTTTGTTATTTTTAATTAATTAATTAATTAATTTTTTTTTTTTTTTTTTTTTTTGTAGTGTTGCCAGATGAAAAGCATGACCGGACTATTGAAATTAAGGTAAGGGAGGGTTGGGAAGGTGTTTTTCGTTGTTTTTTTTTTAATTAATTAATTATTTATTTTTTTTTTCTCTTCTGTAGTGTTGCCAGATGAAAAGCACGACTGGACTTTTGGAATTAAGAACAATTAAGGTAAGGGAAGGCTGGGAGAAATGTTATTATTATTTTCTTTAAAAAACTTCCTACTTTTTTATTTTTATAGGGATGCTAAATGAAATATAAATAGTAGATAAATGCCATGCAGACGGAGTTAACTCTGATGTGCAAATACAAAGCTAATGAAATCAATAATACAATTTAATATTTTGACATTATTAAAACAATTTGTTAAATAACTTTTATAAAAGCATTTTGTGCCTTTCATATATTGTGTATTTAAAAAATATATTGTGTATTTAAAAAAAAATTATCCTCTTATTAAATGATCATAGGGCCATTGGTATATCAGTCATCTTTGTTTTACTGGAAAAAAAAATCGTTATAAAGGGTCATTTTTATATGCTGTTTTGTAACCTTCGTATAATGGTATACAGCCCATAATTAATAAAATTTGGTTAATTGAGGGTTTTTTCATATGTTAATATCTGTCCTACATTAACAATTCGTTATATAGTGTTTTTCGTTATATCGAGGTTCGCTTCATAAGTGTGTATAAAATTTAAATCCTCATTTATAAGAAAAATTTTTTATTAATGACTTTAAATTTTTTTTTTTATAAATATTTGACTATTAGAATCATATTATACATTTTGTTTTATTGAAATATACTTATTTTCTAATAACACATTTCTATATGAGTGAGAAATGGGTTTTTTATTAGTAAAATAGGTTTTTTCGTCTATATTTTTTTGAAAAATTTTAAACATTATGAATGTAAATTTTTATTTAACATATTATATAGTCACAGGATTACTTATCAGATGATTTTCTGGTATTACAAAACAATTTTGGGCAATGGAAATTGTGAAAATTTTTTTTTAAGACCATTTAACGCAAATGAAACAAATCCGCCAATATGAATAGTTCCATCTTTGGTTAAGTCTTGATTTTGATGTTGAATGTGGAGAAAAACCTTTACTTAGCAAAACTCCTTCTATTGAGGACCTTCGCATAAAGATAATACTTTACTAAAAATGGCCAATTTTTGAAATGATTTTGTAATAATTTTAAAATACTACAAAAATACATTTAATACATCAAAATGTTTTTATTATATTTTTGTTATTATTTTATAATTATATTGTATCTAGATTTATAAAAATAAATCAAAATAATATCACAATAATTTGAATGTTTAATAAAACTCTTTCCTGTACCGTTCACATCCATTTTTCATACAAGAAATATTACGCTTTTTCTCGTTAAATTACTAGAAAAATAGCACTTCAGTATTAAGATAAAAGTGTTCCTTGGTTTAAACAACACACTTTTTATTATCACTCTTTTCAGTTCGAACCAGTTTACAAGGGCTTAATAGTCCTTTAAAGACATAAAAGTTTTGTTTTCTTGCGAAATTTTTTCAAAAGAAGGCGTAAATACAGTGCACCAATCAGATAAAAGATGCCGAATAAAGAAAGTTTTATCGGCTATACTTTTTTCCGTCCAGAAAAAGTGAAACGGTACACAGGGGCTGATACGATATACTCCACCTGAAAAGGAAAGTCCTACATCCTTTTACATGTGGACTCGTTACAGAAAGAGAAAGATATATTGACGATTGTTACCAACAATAGACATATAATAAAGAAATATGATAAGCCTTTTTTAATTAATTCAGATCAGCCTATGATGAATACTAAATACAGGATTTCAAAATACTTAACGAGTGTATTTTGTGAGTTACCTATTGACATAGAAACTAGAAACAAGTATTTTTTAAGAATACGACAATTATTATTGGATAAACTTGTAGTTATTGAAAATAGATTGAAGAAACAAGAAAAGAACAGGCAAACTACAACTTATATTAAATTTAGTCATGGTAGACGAACATGGTATTTGGGGTTCTACATCCCATGCTCGTTTTGTAGTAACGTCTGTGCTTACGTAATGTCAAGAAATAGAAAAGTTTGTCAAAATTGTCATTCGAAGGTGATAGTAACTCCTACACCTCCGCCGCAAAATGTATTTAAGGATTTTAGTAAAGTTAAACAAGTAATAAGTAAACGTGTTGGCGTGTCTTATACAAAAAAAGTTTCGATGGATGGTGGAGCACGTAAATATGCAATTACGTATTCAAATTTGCAGATAAACAAGCAATTTAAAACGTTGAAAGAACAAGAGAAGTATAAAAAGAGGTTTAAAAACAGCCTCAAGAGTAATAAAAATAAATGGCAGGTCACAAATAATGGAATTGGATCAAAGGTACTTATTTCCAAACATAAGTTGAAATGTAGACATGATATCCTTAAGAAACAATACATATCAGAAAAAGAAATGGAGTTTCTGGTAGATCAAGTTACAAGTGAAGTTGGATATAAAATGTTAATAGATGATATTTTTATTAATCATTCTTTTAACGAAGAACATTTCCTCGAATTAAGAAAGAAAAAAGACGCTTCTTTTGAACAAAAAGATAGTAAGTTAGCAGAACAGTCGAGTAGTGCTGGTCAAAGTGCTACGATAGACAATATTATTACGGACCTTCAAGAAATGGAAATTAGTGGACAGGATAATGTCGCTCCTTGGCAAGAAATACTCAATAGACGAGAACCTATTACAAGGGCAGAATTTCATCGGGGTTTGAATAGTATTAGAGATAAAAGTCTTTTAACGACATATTGTAATGGGGTTAGAAGAGGAAGGCGTGGACGTGGTGTTACTCACGACTACGTGGTTAATCAGTGTGCAATTAAAGCTCGTAAATTAGATCAAGGTATGTTATATTAAGGGGACATAAATAAATAATTAGTTATTCTTGTTTTGTTTTTCTATTTTTTTTTGTGGGATGGCTAATTATTAAGAAACAAATTATCAAAAGGGAAAAAATGAATAATTATTTTAGGATTTTAGATCATTCCTTATCTGATAATATTTACATAAGGCTATTTGGTTAGAAAGAAAAATATATAGTCAGTTTTGTCTATTGAATTTATTTTTAGTTTCACATCATTCCATATTTGATTATATTTACATATGGCAAATTTTATTTGAAAGAAAAATATATAGACTT